TTTTCCTCGACGATCTCTCTCGACCGAATGCGGGAGTCGCGAGTCAATTAATTAAGCTTCAGTCGATTCGCGGGCGCGCACTGACTTACCGCGTCCTTACTTTTCCAGCCTACGGGTTGGCGTCGACGCAATTATTTCTAATCACTTTAGAAAATCCCCCGCTGAGCGCGTGGTCGATCGACGATGACGATTGGCCGTGTGTGTACCATCTTTCTAGGCTGTCCGACCTCCGCTTTCTGACGCGCGTCAGAGTTTCCTCGTCTTCTCTAGCTTGACCATAAACGGACGATGTCTCTCGCCGACGATAGCAATGATCGCTCGCGGTGCTGCGATCAAGTCTCATTTACAAGATTTTGTACGGCGGATAATTGAGACGATGATACGCTAGTCGTGAGCGAAACATAAACACGATATTCTCACGTTTAAGGTAGTCACACTTTTATTACGTTTAATATATATATATAGTATATTTATGTTGTCAAAGCACTTCGTAGATCGCGCTGTTAAAAAACTTTCGAAATTTTCGCAATTTTAAACTTTTCGCAATTTTAAAACTTTCGAAATTGTGATTTCTCATTATTGTGACGACCTTGGTTCATTTCCCTCGAAAGTTTCAATTGTAAGAGTGAAACGTACGTATGCTCGAACCACTCCTACGGCCTCATAGATAACCGGTGTCAAGCGAAGTACGTCGTCGGCGATCGTTCCTCTTCCTACGTTCTTGTTTTTCCCGCGGAATCTAGCGTAGGAGAAATTACCCGCACGTACGCGGCACTTCGAAAAGACAACCGACACAATCGTTCTCCTATTAGCCTAGTTAACACTGGGAATGGGTCGGAGAACTCTCTCCCTCTTTCCTTCGGCCCACGTTATTGTAAGGTCAGCGAACGAGGAAGTCGCGATGAGCGAGGATTTTTGGAGGATGTTACGTAAAAATGAGTCAACACGCTAAATGCGTAAAACAGTATCGCACACCTGGCTAGATTCGTAACGCGAACTTCTTCGTTTCGAATTCAATTAATATTAATATAAACACTATCTAAAGTATGAAAATTTGCGTGGACTCGAGATACACATTGCATACATAAATAATTTTACGCATCTAAATATTCGAAACTTGGATTGCGAAAAAGCGAGCAACGCATGAAATTTTCAAACTCAAAATATATATCGCGCGCGCAAAACGCTATTTCTACGAGGGAGGAAATGATAAACGAATCGGGTAATTTTCTCCTCTACCGTCTCTCCGTCACATAACGCGTTTGGAAAAGACGGTTACTATCGATCAATTACGCGCTTGATGCACTCGCCGCCTGCGCCCGTAAAATGCTTTTACCGTCCAACTTTCCTTCGGGATATGTGAAAGATCCACGTTCGAGTATAAGAGTACTGTTAAAGGTCGACTATAAATAAACCGAGAATATACCGACGTAACTGCGTGTGCGGGCGCGACAAGAACTGATCGCATACATGAAGGCCGTATGCTGGAATCGCCGGGCTTATCAAGTCTCGTTTCTTCCATTGCGTAGCAAAAAGTATTTTATTTGGAGTTTTTACGTCAAGTCCCAAAGGAGACTTCTCAAACCGTCGAAGAAAATAAAGCCAGGCGAAATAAGGCAAGACCGACTTAAGAGGCATGATTAATTTTCTGCAATATTACTGGCTGCGGGAACTCCCGAAAAATAATACTTCGGTAATAAATAACGTGATGGTACTTTATAATATGAATCGTACCTGTATAATTTACGTCTCACAGTATAAAAATAATCGATTAATCCCCAATTTTTGAATTATCGCAAACTAGCACAAAATTAAGTAAATTGAATAATTTTACAATAAATTATAACTTTATATTTGAAATAATCCTTACAAAATCGTGGACCTTATTCTTGCCGCGAACTTTCCAGTTTGTAAATCTGCGATTGAATCATACCGAATTGTAGTATTGAGTGAAAAAAATCCACTTTGCGGTCACGATGATCGTTGTAAACAACATCTAAACGGCAATTTGGACCGTCAATAAAAGACTCCTCGTAACTACGTATTGAATGCGAATCGTAATTTTCTTTGCGCTGCCACGCTCACGTTTAGCTAATCTTTACGGTGATTTGACTGACCGTTTGATTTACTCGGCGATCAATTTCACGTCCTCGAACGATCGTGTATCATTGTTGAACTACAAACACATTTTCTACTTGTCGTGCACTTTATAACATATATCTTTAACAATTATTCATGAACTGTAAAAATTCAACACGCATTACTTATTCTGTTTTTAAAATAATTATATCTTTTTTATATTTTGTGATCATAAATACATTTCTTTTTCTACAAGTAATTGTAATAACTATACTTTTCATTGTTTGTAGATAAACGTATCGGCGTACAAAAACTATACGCGTCATTAGAAACGTAAAAAAGCATTTTTTATTGGCTATATAAAGCAGAGTGCCAGAGATGAAATTTCCCATACATTAATCATTATTACATTTTTAATCAGCCTACACAAAAAAGTCCGATAAAGGCACACACATGCTGTGCTTGGTGTTACCAGCCTTTCGTAAAAGACGCCAAACGGTACATGGATTTATATTCGATTCGCCTGAATCAGGCGTTACGCAATTTTCATGTACGGTTTCTTATCCATACATACTATAGTCCCGTTCACCCGGAGACAAATCACCGATTATTAGTAAACGATAATAGAAACGAGTTTGGTCAGCTGTTATCCCCGAAACGGGAATCGATTGGACATTGTACTCGGTTTTCTCACAGAATTTATTAATGCCGCGTCGACAATATATGGGTGCTAAGTAGCCTCAATTAATACCGTATTGAATGTGTTTACGTACCCGCAGGTGTAGCGTTTATCTGTTTTTCACCTGCTTACGTGCCACTTCTACGACTCCCGTGTGAACGATTTCACAGAGGCACTGAATAGCGAATTTTACATGAAACTCTGAACGCATGAATCGCGCAGTTCAAAACGTTAAAAATAAAAAAAAATTGAATAGTTTTTAATATCCTAATATTTTTATTATAAAAAAATTAACCATTTTGCATTCTTTTTTTTACTTTTTAAGAGATGAGCGCGATTACGCTCTTAGGACTTAGGCGACCTTTCCTCAAGACGCTAATTTTGATTTCTAACGTAATTTACGAGATATACCGTAGTAGAGTCGTTTTGTGTATGAAGCACATTGCATCGCGACCTGGCGCTCGCTTTCATCCCCCACGCGATCGGCAGTTAACGACGTTAAACGCCGCTGCATTGTGCACAATGAAAAGGTCGCTTTCCCGACGTACCTTCTAGACGGCAAACGCAACCGAAGGTCCGAAAACCCGTCAAGATAATTAAGTAGATTGCCATGGAAATTAGATTAAGCGAGTTTCTCGCGAGCGGCGACACACAATCCAGTTTAATTGCCTGGCATTGTGTCGGGAGTTAATGATTGCGCTCGCGGTTGCCTTCCTCGGGATACGCCACCGCCAACGTCGCTGAAGACAAGTTGCGACTTTAATTGCGACGCGCGTGAAACACGGAAAGACGACGCCATGTCGCGGGGTCGCGAAAACGAAACGTAATAATGCACCGAGCGACGAGAAACTGCGCTTACGTCGCTGCGACGAAACCGCATTACGCAAATCAACTGGAGCGCGTTATGTCGTAACAACTATAATTTTTTTTTTTTCATTCTCATCCTCAAAAGGTGGCTTCCTAATTCAGTGCAAAGAGTTAAGAATGATTTCTTCTTCAAATAAGGCAAAAGTAGCAGAGTACAATTTAAAGCAAATCTCAGTTTTAATCTAATCATTTTCGCAATAATCTCTACAATGTAAAATCTAGCTAAATATCACCGGATTCCGCATTGCGTAGCATGGTCTATATATTCCGGAAGGCAAAGAGAAAGAAAGAGAAAGAGGAGGAAGAATACTTCGAGATTAATGCAACACATTAGCGAGAATTGTTGCGACTATACACAAGGTTGGCGATCACCTCTCTGGCCTCGAGGTCTCACGTTACATTATCCCCAGCCGTTTGAACCATCCGGGATGGTAATTCCGCGTTATTTCCCGAGGTCGAGGTCGCGGCAGACCTCTCGTCGATTCGTGCAGAAAAGGAGACCATCGATCTCCGCCGAATAAATCGTCGGGGACGGTCCCGTCGTGACGAGATGACGCGGTAAATCATCCGGGTTCTCAGGGATTCAAAGAGACTATCTTCCTCGTCGACTAGCTTTAATGAAGACCCCGTTCGCCGATATTAGCGCTATTATTGCAGCGTTATTATAAGCGCTGTGTAGCGGAGAGTCGGGATAAATGTTTTTTAGACGATAAAAGGCTCTTGTTATCGGTACAAATAGAAATCTTTGAGTCATCTATACGTAAGGACAAGTTAGAAAACAAGTTTCGCGATCGACTCGTCAATTAAACCTAAGCACGATCGATATATCGTATCGATCAAACGGAACAAATTCTACAGCTACAGACAGAGATGCATCTAAACGGATTTAATTGACTCTAATTGCAACGCATGGCTCTAATTTATTTTGTAATATATTTATTTCTCTAACATTTCTTGCATATTCTATGTATTTCTTATTTTTTTATTCATTTATTGCATGATTAAAAGAAAATTTTTAATATCGATAAAAAATCTATTATACTTATATTACTAAAAATTAAAGGTCTATTGATGATGACACTAGTTCTACAAATTAAAAGAAAAACCAAAAACTATAATTATATCAAAATAAATAAAATTTGTCTAATAATCTATCACGCTAATCAAAAATTCAAAAGAATAAAAAATGAGCGATCAGACCGCTCTTCCGAAGCTGCGATCTTCTAAAATTAGGACTTAATTTTTCAAGACTTTTCTACATTATTCAGTTTCGTAATCCTAAGACTTGAAATTCGCAGAAACGAATTCTCTCGCTGGTCGCGTCGCACAAGAGGTCTGACCGCTCTTGACCCTCAAGACTCGAATCGAGACTCACCTTGCCCCGGCGATGATTGTCGGTCTATCCGAGTAGTCCGCTTGCTCCCGCCTAATTACCAAGGTTATCACCGAACGTGGCTCCGATACGTGATGAGGAACGGGGACGAAGAAACGGGTTTTCACTTTTAGTCCAGGCCGTTGTCGCCTCCTTCGCGTATTTAGCACACAGTTTTTCTCTTTTTCACATGCGACGATTCGCCGGCGTGCCGCCGACTATTACACACGCAATTATCTCTGTCCACCGTAGGCGGGACACGTGTATAGGCACGCGCTTCAACGAATTTCGACGCTCTTCGTCGCCAAAGGGAGAGAGCAGGCGAATATCGCGGTGTTCCCCTTCCGGGTCGAAGGGCCGGTAATCGATCCGCTTTTGTTTCCGCGACGAGGATCCCGCGAGGATCCCCGCGGCGAGACGAGGACTGAATTTCGAGACGCACGCGACTCTGACGATCAGGAGGAACGGCGACGCGCGTCGCAGGCGCGGCGGGATGCACGGTGGTCGCGCGTCGTCGGTGACGTTGCTGCGGCAGGTGCAGCCGCTGCAGCTGGCACGGTCGTCGGCTTCATACTGAAGGGGCGAGATACACGGCAGGCTCGAATGCCGCCGCAGGCTACCGCCGCACGAGCAGCTACGAGAAACTGGCTCCGCTGCCGCCGCCGCCGCTGACTGTTCCGAAAACTTGAAGCAGCGCCGGTCTCTCCTCTTTATTTCTCCCCTTAGGATCTCTCTGCGCTTCTCTCGCTCCCGTCCTACCGCTGCTCTCCACACCGCGTTGCTCTCTCCCCCCGCGTTGTGTGCCATTCGTGGTGGGGTTCTGCTCTCCGTGCGAATGGTGGGGCCATCCTCTCCCTCGTTCTCTCTGTTTCACTCCGCAGCCGACGCCGGGATCTCTCTCTTTCTCTCTCCTACCTCGTATGAGATCGCGAACGGGCCCCGAGGATATTTTTGGATTTTTCTTTCGATACGTTGTCCTGCGCCTCGCGAGGAGTCGCTCGGTTTAAGACTCGTTCGGAAGGGATCCTCTCGATAAATCCCGGCGAGAAATAACTGCATCCGCGACAATATCGAAGCGAATTCGTTTCGCAACGTCTCGGATTTAATGCACAAAAATTTTAGAATCAGATATTGCTTCAGCAATAGACGTTGTATTTTCCATCTAGATTGGAGAGCACAATTTTCCGACTGTTGCTAAGGAGAAGCCATTCTCCTTTTCTGTGATCAAGCATTTCTCGTGGTTTATCTCAGCACCTGCAACAAGATACCGCAGGGAGAATTTTGATACAAGATTTCTCTGAGAGTTGCAGAAAGTCCGTATCTCATACACACTTGAGGATTACAGCAGCAATTCTTCTACTATTTTAGAATGCAAATTATTTTTATTTTCTCTTCTGGCGAATAAAAACAAATGAAACATCCAGCGGATTTATTCAAATCCGTGAGAGGCCTTGTCACGAATCTTGAAAAGCGAGGAATGTGAATGTTTTGCTTCTGCATTCCTGAATTCATCGACACTTGCCGGTGAGAAGCGAGAGGCGCCTGCAAGAATCGCGTTAGAATTTCCACATGTCCATTTCGTCTTTTCATATCTGGTCCTGGTCGGACGTCGCGCTCGAGTCCGGCGCGACGCGTTCCGGTAGGTCGGTGACGCCAAGAACCGGACCGGCTACAAAAACGATTACGTTTCGAGAAGAGTGAGAGAGGGACGGAGAAATAGCCGGAGGTTATTGGCAGGTCCTGGACCGTAAGGCGCCCGAATGCATCGCCGAATATGGTCGAAAACATCTAACATAAGTGCGTCTGGTAACAAATCGTCGCGAACACTGGAAGTGCAAAGGTTATTAGACGTGAAGTTAAGGTTGTCCTTCCAGTTTATTTTTCTAAATAGAATCATTTTCCAGGCTAATGCTCGAGCGAGATGTAAAACGCACTGAAATAAGAAAGAATTACACAGCAACTTTCAAGTGCTATAGAAGGGCACAAAGGATGCACAAAGCGGAGAGAAAGAATCGCATCCTACTTTTGCAAAATAATTTTAATAAATATATATCTAAATATATTATTATGAATAATTGTATCTTGATTAATAATACGTAATTTATAATTCTTTCACTCCAAGAACCGCGTTTATAATTTTTATTGCCTTTTTATTATTGTTTAATATTTAAAGGTAATTAAATACTAATGAATGCTTCTTTTTAATGCTCATAAATCCTAGTCGTTGCATAAATATTTTTCAATTTGCATAAAAGTGAATGTGAAATATCAATGCGACATGTGGAATTAACTCGAAATTTTTTTAACAAAGAATTTCGGACTATAATGAAAGAAAGAACCAAAAAATGCAAAATTATCTTGCCTTCTAATAATTTTCACAACGCTGTGAAATAATTAGAGCGATCCTCGACGGCGAGGGCGACTTTTAGCATCCTCGTAGACGTTAGACCATTTCGCACTCGCGGAGCAGCGATAATTAACGATGCTTGAGTTCATGTACTTTCATAAAGCCCGGAACTTTCTAATATGCCCGGCAAGTATCTCTGTTTAAGCGTAACGAGGTACTACGTAGCTCGAATGTATGTAAGAAAACATCTTTTTCATTTTTCCAAATCAAAACAGCTATCGCGGCAGGAAAGCTCGGCAGAATCTATTCGCGTTGTCAGTTATAAATTGCTATGAATATTTGATTACTTGATTAGACTTCTAGTTACATGCTGATAGATTAATTTATACCTCTTCGTACAAATCGATCAGCATAAAATAAAAATTACTTTCTTATTTCATATTTATTTCTTATTGTTTTACTTTGTATAATTATTGACTTTTCTTAAATACAAAATTCTTTGACAGAGTACTTTGACAGTACAGTTAACTCAAAATAGATTATTTTTCCAATAGCATTTTCTCGCTCGCGAGGATAATGTTCGGCCCGACTGAGGTCGCAAGGAAATAAAGAATTCTCTAACGGCGTGGGCGAGAGTCGTTGAATGAACACCCTCTTCGCGTCTTCCAGCCCTTCGTACTCGCGCAACGGTTCTACTATACGGCTCGGCCGAACGACTTTCCTTTAAATCGGCGGGATGTTTTACGTGCCATAGATTGACATTTACAGTGAAATCCTGAACAGTGGGCGCAGCTGGTTTACCATTCGTTCAATGATGCCTTAAGGATCTACGGTACCGTGACTGAAACCTGTTTCTCTTGTTCCTGGTTGCACTGTCTATATTTATACGCATTTGCACGCGTGCGTCTACATACATACGCATACACTAAAAAAAAATTTAATGTTTTTCAAAAAATTATTTGTTTCTTTAGGCAATTATTTGCAGTAATCAAATAGTTTGTTTTATATTACCAAAAATTTTATTGTTTTTGATTAAATAATTTTTATATTTTGCTATCTAATATCTAGCGCATCATTCTTGCCAATAACTAGCTTATAAACTTAGAAGCAATTTTCAATTAAATATTAATCGCGCAGAAGTTATTGTAGTATATACTTCATTATATGTAGTGTATAATTTTTACACACATAAATTTTGCAAATATCGTAAACAATTACGAAAAATATCTGAAATTAAAAAGAAATTAATAAAAAGATTTTTAATTATATACTAGTACGAATCCATTGTATGATTTAAGAAGAAAAGAGAGAAATATTTTTATAAAATGTATAGTAGAGGCTTGATAGGAATACGTACATACATATTTATTATAATGCGCACTATTTATCTCCTAACATTGACAAGAAACTTTACTTGGACGGTTGACGACATTGTTTCAGTCGTTGATTGTTGACGAGCTAGTCAAGTACATATTTTATTGTTTCACAATTGATTAATTCTCGTTTGGACATTATCATCTAGAATAATTTATTTTATTGTTTATTAAGTAAGTATTTCACGTAAATATCATTTTTCAGTTTTCGGAAAAAATTTTACGTGTTTTACATAAATTCTGACGTGTATAATAAAGTTATCTAGTTGTTAAATATACAAACGAAACACAATATCAAGAACCGTGTACAAAACATAATATCAAGAAACTTATAAATGTTCGGAGATATAATTTATAGACAGGATATTGCAACGTTGAAATTAAAAAATTGCGGAAATAATCTTACGATTTTTGTCGGACAATATTACACTTTTTTTCACAATGCAATTTATCTTTGCATTTTGTATAGGTTGTTATAATGGTGCAAATCAATAAAATAAAATAATTAATGGACTGACTTCTAAATCCAAGGTAAAAATAAAAGATATTTTAAATAAAGAAGAAAACATTTTTTACTACAAAACATTATAGACTTGTCTTATTAACTATGTATATAAAAAAAAAACTAAAAAACTTTTAATATTCTAGAAAGAACATACACAAAATATGATGATGGATGAAAATGTAGAGAGAGAACAAGATACTGTCATTTTCACAAGTGAGGAACAACAACTTTTATTAAACCAATTAAAAGAAGATGATCAACAACGATGCATTTGTCAAAGTTGTATGAAGGAAGAATTGGCAGGTGCAGCTTATAAGTTCGCTAAGGATAAAAAGAAAAAATATCCAAAGACATGGGATAAAAAAGAGAAAGCGGACGAGGAATGGCGAAAAAATTTTCTAACCGTTCACAATAATGAGATTTCAAAGTCATTTTCTTTTAATTGCAAAAAAATGTGTTCTTTACCATCAACAAGCAAACAATTATCCTCGTCTTTATCTATACAAAATATTACGTTACCAAGCTTTGAAGTACAAAATTTGGACTCCTTGATTGATAATATGAAAAAAAAATTTTTAGCATTAAACAAATGTTCAAGCACAGACAAATTGCATGCTCCAGCAAAAACCATAAAATTAAAAATAGCTGACAAAAACAGATATAAATACAAATTTAAAAAATCCGTTCTCACATTTGATGAAGAGATATTTTTACTAAATCAATTAAAGAAAAAAACTCAACGACAGTGTATTTGCCAAAATTGCATAAAAAAGGAATTGCCAATAATAGCCTACAGATTTGTCAAAAATCAGAATAAATTATATCCAGCATTATGGAATAGGGATAAGAAAGCTGGAAAAAGATGGCTAGAAGATTTTCTAACCGTTCACTATCATAAGATTTTAGTGTCATTTCCACTTCATTGCAAAAAGGAATCATTTTTAGCGTTGACGAACGAAGAATCAGCTTCGCTTTCGTATGATTCACAAAACGTAATAAAGTTGTCAAATAATGTTAAAGACGTACAACAAAAAAGTTTGGATTCATCACAGATTAGTGACATTAAAGAATAATTATCTGAAACAATTAAATTTGAAACAACTAAATTTTGAAAATAATCAACTCTTATGACATATTTCGAATCGAAAAGCAGAAAAAATTTATTCAACAAGTCAACGAACAATTACTCAATTACTCCAATCGTTATCACACATTAAAAATATGTCGAAGGAGACAGATGGTTGCAACGTTTCACTGCAAGAACTTTTGGAAACTTTGGAAAAAGAACTTCAGAACGTGTTTTCAGACGTGATTATAAACACTAAAAATATTTCTGAAAAGACAGATGATTTAGAGCAAGAAGAATAATTTAACCCGATAAAATTTTGCAACTATGACAAAGTTTAGAATGTGGACAGATATCTAATAGATATAACTTATTAAAAAGTTATTTTTAAATGCTTATTTTTTAAATATTTACATAAGTTATAAATATTATTATTAATAATATATTATTACATTATTAGTAATAAATTTAACTAGTTTAATTAATTACATTAATAGTAATAATTACATTATTATTAATAATTATATACAATACCCAAAAATTAAAAAAATAACTTTTTAAATTTAATTTTTTTAATTACTTGTACGAATGCATTTTAATACTCGAGAATTCACATGTGGCGACGGATCGAGCCTTCGACTTCCTGTCGGTGACCAAGCGAGTCACACGACATAACGCAAACCGGATACGGAATGTAATTACACATCAGTTGCACTTCTGCGGCGTTAATCTTTATCATACCAGCGTGTTAACTTTTAAGGTCACGCTCTCTCAAGCACACCGTAAAAGTGTGAAATTAAAGCAACACAAGCGAGTTTTTTACAATTAAATTTGTATACTAATTTTATTATGTATAACGGTTTAATATTTAATGCTATATACATAATAAATTGTATCACTATCATGCAAATATTAGCTACATATTTTTGTTTTCCAAAAATATTTGGAATTTTAATTATTGCTTGATAGACTACAAAGATAATAATTGTATGAAAAAAATGTATTTTGTGCCATGAAGAAACAGTTTTCAATTTCGGTTATATATTCATTTATTTTTTTGCTGAACTAAAGATTTCTACAGAGGTTTAAATAAGTTATATGAGCAGTGCAGTACAATACAAATATTAATAATAAATATTGTATTAATTTGTGAATTTTATATTCGGAGGATTATAAAATATAATGGAGTAATAATAAAATATTCATATCTTTATATTGAAATTTATCATTATCGTGAAAAGATGATGCAAAATTAATATAAAAGCTCTTCATTATTTGTGATTACCATTAAATAATATTTGGCTAAATATACAGATAAGTTTGCAACAAATGAATTCCTTCAGTCGCTTCATTATCTTTTTGCAAAATTATCTAAACTGAGGATACTTGATTCTATTAAACTATGTGTTCGTCAATATTGATATCCACTATTACCGTCATTTTGTCCATTACTTCCGCCATTTATATTGTCATTTCCATTTATGTTATTGCTAGGCGCGTTGGAAAAATATCCGCCGATATCGCCGCTTAAACCATCATTATGATCTCGGCCTGAAGACTGATCTGCAAAATATATAATAACCGTCAATCAAAGAAATGAGTGCAGATAAAAAAGAATAACTAAATAGACTAACGTACGGTTTCATAATAATTAAAAAAATTAACAGATAAAAAGGGCTAAAAGAATCAAAGCGCGGATGTCAAAATGCAAAAAATTTATTATCTGTATGGATTGATAATAATTTTTTTGTGTTTCGACATTCGCACTTTGGTTCTTACAGCTTTTTCTCTGTGAATTTGTTTTCTAATAAATAAAATTTAAATGTTTCGTTACATTGATCATAAAATTAAAACGCCATATTTAACACATCTTCTCAAATTGTCACTTATCATCCGCATTATTCCAACTCGATGAGAAACGACAATCTTATCGCGCACCTGGCCTTCCCGATTGATAACCGTTGCCGCCTCCGCTATTAAATCCGCCAAGCTTTCCCTCGCGAGGTCCACCGTTCGGATAACCGCTATTACCACCGCCACTATTAAATCTTGAGCTATCCGCGAAGCCGCTGTCTGCTCTGCCAGAAGGATAACCATCATTGTTACCATTCGGCCTGCCGGAATCGTATCTTCCGCCGGCGTTCGCTTCGCCCTCGTATCTAATTTGCGGTTTAAATCCATCCTGATCAGCCTCATACTCGACAATCTGCTTCCTACCATCCGGAAGCAAGACGTTGAACTCGCCTTGAGCGCGATCACCGTCTCTAGTCTCCGTGTGACTGTAATCGCTACCGGACTGCTCGTCCTTCACTTCGTACGAAAATTCGTATTTTGCCGGCTCCTGAAAGTTAAGTAACAGACTCTGAAATAAGCTCTTAAAACAAATTTGGTTTAATAGAAACGATCTAAAATTTGAAATATCTAGGAGATTTAAATAATTTTTGAAAAATCTGAAATCCGAAATATTTTTAAAGAAAATATTATTTTGCCATTTGCTTTGTATATTCGTCTTTGATACAATTGTATAAGACACTTACGGTGCTTTCTTCTTGCGCATTGTCGTTGTAACCTCCGCCGCCACTTCTTCTTTCTTCATTTCCAAAACTTCCGCCGTTGTTTCTGAAGTTTCCTGCGTCTCCATTTGGACTTCCAGACGAATAGCCGTTTTTATTATCATTTTCTCGATTGGGTGGACCGTAACTGCTTGATAATCCTCCATTAGCGCTACCGAATTCGTTTATATCGTTCGTTCTGGGCTCATTCGGAGGTCCATAACTGCTCGACGGCCCTTCGTTATTATTTCTGCCACTCAAGCGACCTTTGCCGTTCGTATTTTCATTTGCAATAGGTACGCCATAACTATTCGATGGTCTTCCGTTGCCTCCGTTTCCACCAAAACCATCTCCATGATTTCCGTTTGCGGTAGGTGCGCCATAAATGTTCGACGGCTTGCTGCCTCCACCAAAATCACCTCCGTGATTTCCATTCGCACCAGGTGCGCCATAGCTATTCGATGGTCTTCCGTTACCCCCGTTCCCGCCAAAACCACCTCCGTGGTTTCTGTTTGCACCAGGTGCGCCATAGCTATTCGATGGCCTGCCATTTCCACCAAAACCACCTCCGTGACTTTCATTCACATCGGGAACGCCATAGCTGGTCGATGGCTTGCCTCCACTGTCACCGCTTCTGAAAGCGCCTCCGTTATTCACATCAGGAACGCCGTAGCTACTCGATGGTTTTTCAGCATTGCCAAAACCATTTCTGTTATTTCCATTCGCGTCAGGAGTTCCGTAGGTGCTCGATGGCCGCCCGTTTCCACCGATGCCACCGTTGGGAGGGCCGTAAGAGCTAACGGGTTGTCCGCCCCCAAATCCGTTTCCTCGGGACTGACCTAGACCATTTCTACCGGCGTTTCCCCCGACGGGCGCGCCGTAAAGCTTCGATGGACCATTACCTGCGCCATTACCAAGACCGTTGAAACTTGTTGCGCCACTGTTTCTATTAACACCACCCCCATTACCAAAATCCGGCGTTCCATACTGAGTAGAAAGATCAGTTTGACCACCGTTACCATTCACGCTGGAAACTCCCGCTCTCGGAGGTAGATATGAATTGACCGGTGGTTCCGAACGCGCCACGGCCAGCGTCATGATGAATATCATTAGATTGATCTGTAATAAGAATTTTAAATCATCCCTGTTTTGTAAGAACTGATAACAAAGCTTATGAAATTCTAGAATACGCTAGATTGTAAGCTAGAAATTAACGTTCTAGAATTTATGCAAGAAGATAATTATGTGAGAGTTTTTGTTACTTTCTGTTCTTTTTGCAATTGGATTTTTCAAATATTTTACAAAATCAATTTTGATAGTCAATTTAATATTATGCAAATGCTTCTATGTGAATTTCTTCCGAGATAAATTCTTAACTCTATAAGTTTATCAAAAAAATATCTATTTGAAATCATTACAGATTTGTCTAATGTTAAATTTGTCACAAAAATAGATATGATACATTTTTTCTTATGAATTTTGAATTGACTTTTTTTTAACAAAAATATCTAGAGTATGATAAATATATTTGAAGATTTTGTCGTACATAACAGTTCTACGTATTTTACAAGGATCCGAATATATGTTTCTTCTTACCTTTAGCATATTGACGCTTATATATTGATGCTTTCCAGCGACAGAAAAAAAAACAAATTACTCTATCCCTCCGAGGGAGACTCGCTCTCCCTGCTCTCGTTGCTACCCTTTCAACGCAGAATGATCTCGAGGGAATGACAAACACAGGGTCTGCTCCGCGCTTTATATATCGCGGGACTCATCCGCGTTTCTAGATCATAGTTTGGTGCAATCGACAAGATTTACAGCAACGTTCGATGCAAGTGTGTCACGAGATGCTATACGGGATCGACGGTGACGATGGAAAAGAGTCGGAACGGCGTATAAGTAAGCGCGCTCACGAGTGGATTTGCGCTCTATATCTCTCCGATCGCGATTCCCGTCAACGTTGCGCCGCGAATCGTTAACTCGTAATCATTCCGAGCGCTTCTAAATTGCTCCGCGTGTAGCCTTTAACAATCCCTGATGTATTATTTCATTATACTATCAGCCGAAAAAAATTTGAAGATATATTTAGCTGCATCTTAAGCTTCTGACGTAAAAGAGAAACTGTTTTCCGCACACAGCCACGCAAAATTGCATCAAAATTGCAGCGAACAGAGAGAAACGCAGGAACATAAAATATCTTTATCTTGTACTATAAATATAAAATTAGAACGTATGGCACGATACGCGTATCATATTTAATTAATTATGATTTATGGCCAATGAATTTACTCAACATATAGTATCAGAAAAAACACTTTGATATCGCGATTGACATGTTAAAATGCTATTGACATGCATGTGAAATGCGTGTCCTCCAATTATAAAAAGCCTAAACACTCTCCGTCTTGTTGAGCTGACGAACCGTCCTGACGCAATAAACTTGTGTGACGCAAACTTGCATAATATATCTCCATCTCAGCGTGCCGCACTGCCATCACCTGCATTCAGTACGAGTGCTCGGATTGCACAAATTTTCCCCAGCAGAATGTGTACACTCATACACATACAGCATCAAATAGATATGCGATCGCGCTTGAAGCAACTAGAAAACGCTTAATTTTTTTTTTTTTTTTATTTATTTTTATTAATCTTATCGGTGATATATTTGTAAACTGAATATCAGGATAAAATCACGCTTAAGTATAAAATTTAACACAGTTATAATTAACACAAGCAACTACTTTTGAATTAATTAGAGTATTTATGAGTGAGATTCATGTAGTCATAAAATACCATTGTGTATAGTCATACAAATATTGTACCATTGTGTTTTTTTCTGTTAATTCATGAATTATTTCTTGGGAATAAAATAGTGAAAGTAAAATAAATAAAATATTGTAGAAACAAGAGAAATAAAATGTAAGAGAGATATTATACATAGAACATACATAGAAATTATACAGATAAAGAGATAAGAAAACTCCTTCTTTCATCCTCTTGATCGTTCGATTATATTTTATATTGAGCAAGCAGTCCTCTTCTTGTGCGAATACACATTGAAAAATGTTTTGTATGGAACACGATTCCTCTCTAGATACATATCTCTCTGAGTACAGGCTTTGTGTCACCTGTGTAAATGAGAACGCAGTTGCTCTGTAGCAGCATACAAATTTCTACACTGCGTCCTGATCGTCATCAATTATTCGCGTGATGCACATTGTTAAAGAATTCTCATGCTAATTTCAATCAATCCTTTATGGTATCTCTCAAGTATGGATTAAAGTATCCAATCCTTTTCAAAAATAAAAGGAACAGAATTATTAATCATTTTCAGCTTTATCTATAATTTATTTAATAAATATTATTGCTAATAATTAATCTAATAATAAATTATTATGTTTATATTATCTCAAAAAACGTATTTTAGTAGACGCTTGAAAAATAATCGAGATACATAACTTTTGCGCGTTCTTGCACAGTTTGTGCATCCTTGGCACATCTCGCATGCAGTCTCGAACAACCGGTTGTCAAGAATTTTTCTGTAATAGTGAATGCATCTGTCACTAATATATATATTTATATATATATATAATCACGCGATAAAAATTATTTTATACATAATAAACGTGTCAAAATATTAATCTTATTCGATAATCCTAGAAAAGATTCTTTTTCTCAAAGTAAAATTATTTATTTATTATTATTAAAGCTAATTTTCAATATTATATATTTGATATATTACATATATTGTTCCGTTATCTAATAATTAATAACTCAAATGCTAGTTTTTTTGTTTTTTTAAATGTAAATCTTGCCGCTTTTTAAATAGATCTCGAATCAATCTAATATTAAATGACACTCGTGTTCTTTTTGTCATAATGGCGCCATCTTCCGCTCGTAGAGAGAAATATATATTAAAAAATAAGGGTGAAAGCTGTGATAAAAAAAGTACCATAAAAAGTTCTTGCACAGTTCACGTTATGACGCATTTCACGCTCTACATCATCTATGATCATTTTGGAACATGTTATGTTCAGCTTGGATGAAATGGTTGCGAAATGGAAGTATCGTCAACTCAAAATCACGTCACTCCGCGAATTTTTCGGAGACGGAAGTCAGGTTTTACGGTACAACCGAAGATCGCAGCACTGTCGGCCGCCACTTGGAACGGTTGTTTAACAGTTGCAAACAGTTCGGTTATTTGAAATTTTGTCACATTTTGTGGTGCTCAGTGTGATTTTGCCGGTATTTAACAGAAAGAATTTTTTTATGCACAGCAGCTGACAGCAACTTTTAGCAGCGTTTCAGGATAAATTTTATTAGGAAAAAATTCTTTTAAAAATTTTTATTTCTTTTATTTTCTTCTTTTTCTTATATTATCTTTGTAATCTATTTGGTTACCTTACTTTAAATTTATTTTTATTTTTTATTTTTTCTGTTTTTGCGTTATTTTTTATTAATTTTAGATTTAAGTTGTTTGTAACATTAGTTATAGATTGTATTATTAGTTATAGATTAAATATTAAAATATTAAATTAATTGTTTTAAAGCTGAATAATTGAATAATATTATACATATAAAATTTATATAATAAATAAATGTAATGAAAACTAAGAATAATGTCTCTTTATTTTACTGTAATTAATACTAATCATAATTAATAATAGTAATGAGTCAGTAATTAGTACAGAAATATATATATAGGTTATATGGTCCCGTTAGTTCCTTATTTCCGAAGGTATAAGGTATGGTGGCGCTGAAACGGGTCTCCCCTTTTTAGCAAGAGCAAGTGACGATCTTCTGCTCAAAATAAACAATACTTTGCTCTGCAATGATTAGAATAAACAATAGATTCCCACGTGCATACACTATGATCTGCAATCTCACGCATTCGATAATTCGTTCGATAAAGTGGTTCATTAAGAGATTAGTAAATAATTGGAATGAGAAGCACAGATCTGTCAAGATTATATATCGCAGTGAGAACTTTTTGGCAGTTGATAAGCCCTATGATATGTATATAAATAGTAATAATCCTGACAGAAAGGTGAGGATATTTTTATTCGAAATGCATCTCAAATATTACTGTGTAAATGGAACGTTGCATTTTCAGAATACACTTCAGTTGGAATTGCGAAAAATGCTACCCGACTTGGTTAATCTAAAATTGCGCCATGAATTTCATTTCGTTCATCGACTAGATTATCCTACAAGTGGCGTCATGTGCATAGCATTAAATAAAAAAGCAGCCAGAGCGGCATCATCTGCTTTTGAAAATAAAAAAGTACAAAAATTCTATGTAGCATTGGTACATGGCCATATTCACAAATCTCACATCATAATCAACAAGCCTATTGGTCAGCAATTGTACACAGTATAAGATCAAGACAGAATTAGAATAGGCAAGAAGATTTAACTTTGTTTCTTCCACAATAGGTGATGATATTCGGGAAAAAAATGGCAATCATAAAATGTGCACAAGTGATAGTATTTATTGCGAAAAGCCACGAAAGTCCTATACAGTCCTAATAGTGTTGGAACACGGGCTTTGGAAAGGCAAACCTGTTACTAAAGTATTGTTGGTACCTGGCACAGGTAGACGGCATCAGTTAAGGGTACATTGTCATTATATTGGTCATACAATTATAGGAGATTATACATATAGCGGAGGCAAAGATACAGAACCTCGCAGAACCTATCTCCATTCTCTCAGGTACAATTGATACAGAAATTTGTCACTTGAATTGTGTCATTATCTTATTAACGTTATATTTTTTGTTTTAAGGTTGATATTAAACTGTGACATTGAAAATATAAATGTAAAAACAGCAGATCCATTCGAAGCCTCCATATTATCAAATTATAAAGTGACAAATATTGCAAAAATCTTAGATGAAAATATATTCTACGATATATTAGGTGATTGAAACCCGTTGTTCGGCTGTAGGTGTCTCCAAGTGTTTTATACTTTAGTACGGACAAATGTCGCTTATGTTACCTTGAAGGGTGACCCTGTGTCACTAACTTCTAGCCAAAAGATACCATATTTAGTTGTGACACGTGCCTGAACGTGTTACGAACGAGCAAGTTAAAAATGGACCGTGACAAGTTGTTTTTCCGATGTGTGCTTCTACACTATTTCGATTTGAAAAAAAGTGCAGCTGGAACTCACCGATTGCTTACACAGACTTATGGTGAGTCTGCATCATCCAAAACTGTGTGTAGAGATTGGTTTCGACGATTTAAAAGTGGCGATTGTGACCCTTATGACAAGTAACGACCAGATCAGTCGTAAAAATTTGATGATTCCGAATTGCAAAGTTTGCTGGATGAAAACTTTTCTCAAACACTTAACCAAGTGTTATCAACAGCAACTAAAGCGTTTGAACGATAATTTAATAAAAAAAAGGCTGTCAGTAGCATCAAATCGCCGAAAAGTGATTCTGCTGCACGACAACGCTCGGCCCCACGTTGCATTGGCGGTGAAAAAAACGCTGATGAAGCTGGAATGGGAGGTCCTCCCTCACCCCGTATTCTCTGGACCTTGTCCCAAGTGATTATCACTTGTTCCGGTCGATGCAACACGCCTTAGAAGATACACACTTTCGTAATTATGAGGAAGTCCAAAAATGGGTAGATAAGTGGATAGCGTCAAAAGACAGGCCATTCTTTCGTCGTGGGATTCAGCTTTTGCCAGAGAGGTGGAAGAAAGTAGTAACATCCGAGGGAAAATACTTTGATTAATGTAACCCAACAAGTTTTTACAAAATAAATGTTTAAAAAACGAAAAAAAAACAGCGGGTTTAAATGCAACCGCCTAATATATAAATTAATGAAATAAAATTAAGAAGATTCGATCATTCTAACTCCAGACTCTGTCACCTCAAATTGAAAAGTTATTTTCGGCAAGTGCGACGCTAGCATAATGCAAATGTATCGCAAAGAATCTTTTTTGTAAAAATATATAGAAGAAGTGACCATGCTTGACCATGTAAATCCCAAAGCTGGTTGTTCGTCTATAGCTTCAGAAGTAAGGCTGTGATTATCTATTACTGCAGAAACCTAGAAATGTATTGAGATTAATATTTAATGTTACATGACAGTGTATTTTAATATGATTTTACCTGGTTAATAGAGATTATACATAAATCATTGTTTTTGCAAAGTTTGTGCAATTGTCTTCCAACATCTCTCTTGGATTTGGCTTGCAGCTGATTTTTCCAATCTTCTACCCTATAAGGGGCAGCTATTGAATCGACGATTAATAATCTTATCTTATGAACATTCATCAGTAGTGGAACTCTATTTTTCAGACATAATTCTAGTTCATCCTGTAACATTTATTATTGAGTTGATATTAATGCAAAATTAGATGACTGCTTATAATTCATTATGAATAATCTCAAACTTTTTAATGTCATCATTCTGATATAATAAAATTGTGATATTATAATTACAGTAGTAGCAACATGATTAACAAATATCACATCTCCAGTCACAGAATGTGTTTTAGTTATCTCTGAATTGTCTAACAGCTGTTGCAACCGTTTTGATGGAAAGGCAGTTTCTGTACTAATATATATGGCACCTGTTGACATTAGTAATTATAAATGTATCTTATCTTACAACGGCATCATAAATATTTGAGAAAAAGATTTGAAATAATTAAGAGGCAGCATAACAAAGTTCAAATTTATCAATTAAAATTTCTCCGTTTTAATGCATCAAAATTATTATATCCACATTAACATCAAGAATTTAAATATATATCAAGTTTCAAAGTTGTAAAATAATTTTATTTACTATTAGATTGTTACCAGCTTCAAGACCACCCGCGGTTGCCGGTAGTTGAACAGTGAGACATAGCTGTAGAGCCAGCTGTGTTTTTCCAGTACCAGCAGCACCATAAATCTGCGTAATACCTCGACAAGGTATACCACCTTTTAATGTCGCATCTAGTTTCGAACAACCGGTCGTCAAAAATTTTTCTCTAATAGCAGCTGCGTCCGTCACTGCCATACATGATTACAGTAAAAATCATTTCATACATAAAAACATAATCACATATGTCAAAATATTAATCTAGTTTGATCATCACAGAAAAGATCTTTTTTTAAGGCAATACCTAGAAAATCTTCCATTTTGAAGCTTATTTTTTATCCTATACGTTTAACGTATTAAGTGTATATTGTTACATTATTTTATAATTAATAAGTTGGACACCAGTTTTGAATTCAACATCCTTGAATAGATCTTGGATCAATTCAATATTATAGAAGGTGCTCGCTATTCTGCTTGTCACAATTGCGCCATCTTCAGCTCGTGGAGATAAATATACATATGAACAAAAATTAAACAGAACTTTTTTAAAGAGTTTAATTTTCTAAATGTCACTTCACTTTTTCACTTTTTCACCCAATATTTCAAAATAAGTATAGGTTGATCTGAATGATAAGACACTAACGAAAGACAAGCATGTAAATACAAGTCAATAGATTTTTCATCATGAAAGGCATAATCGTTAAATATCAATAGAGAAATCAAAAATGACTCATTATGATCCCCATTATTATTCATGTCCCGACGAAAAATGTAAACTCATCTAGATCGAAGAAATGTATAGCATTAAAAAGTTGTGTTTGTTTTTCAATTTAAATTACGATTTAATTGTTTCATGTATTAATAAATACCTACATAAATAAAAATTCTTCATCAAGAATGTAGATATTATTGTAAAATGAGAGAGAGAGATGATTCTCCTAATTACGGATTTTAGGAACTCGTTCTTCTAATGATTCCAATATTTAAAAATCCTTGTTTTTAATAAATTGCTAAGTTGTCTAATATACAATCATAGCAATCAATCTTGTAAACGTTGTGTATATTCCTTTTATTAAACCAATATAAAATCTTTTATTATAAAATTTGTGAAGAAAAGAATATATACAGTATAAGATATATAAGAAAGAAAATATGTGAAAAATATTTAATGCGTAGAATTTGTACACAAACATTAATCTTTCATTTGACATTACGAAAGATTTATCCTACATTTATGCTTACATGTGTGTATTTCCTATTTATCTATTTTCTGTTCTTTGTCACTTTTACATTACGTTTCTTCACATGCTTTTTTATTTTGGTTTTTCTCTTCTCCGCTTGCTGTTCTTTGACTGCCTTCTTGCGAATCTAAAATTATAAATAATCTCGGATTAATTTACTACATAGTTTACAACATAATTGTATATTTAACAGTTATATCATAGGAAAGTCTTACTTTTCTACTGTCGGGGCTTTCATCTCGAGGCCTAGCCGAATTTACAAATTTGCTTTTTTCAAATTCCTCGCTTCCTGTTTCACTGTTATCTTCGCTATCGTCTTCGCTATCGTCTTCACTATTTTCGCTATCAGAATTAAAACTACTTGTCCTATCTTTATTGTGTTTGTTTTCGAGAATCTCTGGTACTTTCGCAGGCGAAGATAAATCTGATTTTAAACCAAGCATTGTCTTATAAATCAAATCTTTCTGTCCGGATTTTGCAAGTTTTATATCACGTTCCACATTAACCACCTATAAAAAAATGCAAGCTTGTAACTTAAACAACTTTTTCATACATTTATACAAATAAAAATTATACATTACACTGTAATCTGATTATCATCAGTGATAATTAACAATACCTGTGTCAGTGTTTGTGGAATGTAAGCTTGTTTAAAAACTGCTTCTTTTATTTGCTGTTCTGGATCATTTTCTTGATTTACCTCTTGCATTTTTGTGTCCAAATACTCATCCATGTTAGATTCGTTTACAGTTGGATCCGTTATGAAATCAAATAATGCTTGAAGTGGCATAACATCTACATTATGCTTTTCGAAATATGCTGATAAAAAGTTTATAAAGTTGTATTAGATACATACTTTAAACAAATCTTATATAAAATGAGTAAAATGCATTTCGCCATACTTGTAATATTACTACAGTCCTTCCTTAGAAATTCTGTTGCATGGCAATGATCACGATCTACAGCTTGTGAAACATCAATGATTACAATTGATCCCTTGTGATATAACATATTATATTCGCTTAAATCAGCATGAACAAGTCGACATTGGTTATACATTCTCCACATAATTTCAATACATTCTCTATATAGTACACTAAACTTTGACTCTGGGAGTACAACATCTTTCAATTTAGGTGCAGCCCAGCCATCTGAACCTAAAAACTCCATTAGCAACAAATAATCACTGCATAAAATCGGCTGGGGAGCTCTGACACCACCTTGTTGGAGACGCTTTAAATTATAGAATTCCTTTTCCACCCAAACCTGCACCATTTTACGCGGATTGCGCAGGGAGTGTACATGATCAAAACGGTATTCACCCCTAATGTACTTTTCTCGCTTTTTAAATTGCATGATGCTTGTTCTATATATTTTAATAGCAATCTCATCATTGTTTTTCGATTTTGCATAATATACATTAGCCTCTTTCCCAGTTGAGATACAACCATTTATTTCCGCTAATACTCCTTTTTCGAACAACTTGTGCAATTTCTTTATAATTTTCATATCCAATACATTCTCAATCGTTGCATTATCGCTCCTGTCTTTCAATCTTATGCGATTTTTATCCACACGTTTGTCATTCTCATTCAATGTATTAACCACATGGCTTGGCAACGATGGGCCTGCATATTTATTCACATTAATTTTGTTTGCGTAACGATTTATTTTATATTTTGGCTGATAACTCATTACATTGGATGGATTTGAACTTGTGAACTTGATTCTTTCTGGCAAAGATTTTCTTCCATTAAATCATAAGCACAATTATAATTCTCATCACTATCTTCAGCATTATCTCCAAATGTACAAATTGGTCATTCTTTTTTTGAGCTGCTGATCTTTACTGAGTACAAACTTCTCTTTCAATGTCTTCACTCTGTGAAAAATATCACAATATTAATAATGACTTCTTTAAAAAGTGCGTAAGATAATTATAAATTATTTTAGTAAGCATACGGAATAGTAACTTCCACAAAATTTATAGTGTTTACTATAAATATATATATGAGTAAAATATATACAACTTACACGCATGCTGCTCCACACTCTTCTTCAGCGTCGCTAAAATTGTCCTTCTTCAAATTCGTTTGACATGATTATATATTTGGTTCGAAGAATATTCCGTATTTATTAACTTCTTCTCTATGTGCAACCACGTGTGCCACAAGCAAAATATTACACGAAGTTACGAAACCTTCACCTTTCAACGACAAAAGCAAGCTGGTGATTTTGACAACTCCTCGCATGCGCAATAATACGAACTCTAGCAGACTAACAACATAAGGCTTCTATACACAAGATGTATCAATGCGTTACACGTAAAAAAAAAATGGCGCTGTAACAAATCAGATAGCATTTCAACGTAAGATGATTGGTGGTCTTTGTTAGGTTCAATTTTTAATCGCTAATAGACTTTTCTTTAACATTTATGTTCATCTATATATTTTATAATGTATGACTTAAATGTAAATCACGCTTTTGTTTACAATATTTAAACTATGTAATTATGTTGAAATGATACAAAAAGTAAGGTTTTTTGAAAATTGCTGTATTAATGCTGTTCTCTAACATACTTTTTATAATTTATTTTAACTTTATGTTGATGTATATATTATTTCTTCTGTCGAATTAATTAATATCAAAGCTAACTACACTTTCTGATTAACTTTTGATCAGAAATTTACAGATGATAAAGTTTTTGTGTATGTGACTTATTACAATTGAGAACTTATTCTCTAACCTTTTGTGTACAGAAGTAGAAAGTTAAATGCAATATCTTTCAATAATTAATTAACTATCATGATATTTTGTGACATGATTAATGTCTAGTCACACAATAAATTCAACACAATAATATTGTTTTATTGCAGATCACATAAACAGATGTCTAAAAACAGAAGTATACAGAAATATGCCACCCTGCACGTAAGTTACTCAATTTTATTTTTATTTGTTTCAATAATATAATAAGAAGTAATAAATAATAAATATTTTCTAAACTGCCACTGACTTAGTTTTATATTTATATGTTTAAAAAAAAATTTAGAGAAGTATCTAATAAGTCAGAGTGGCAATTTTCAACCATGGAGAATATAAAGCGATTCATGCAGGAATGCAATGCCATTCGTTATACATCATACAGAGCTGCTGCAAAGATGCAAATATTACATAGAGAATTGAACAGTAAGCTATACCACTATTTAAATATCTGCCAATTAAGATTTTATTATATTCCAATTACCATATATTTTTTTATTTTTTAGTGCAACATGTACAGTTAGAACTAATAGCAGGAGTGTTTGAGCGTCATAGGCTTTCTATCACTGAGAATTGTGTTAATTTAGACCCAAGTGAAATTGAAGATGTTCTATCCGACATTTATTTTGCAGCACAGAAAGAAAGTAATTTTAATTTTAATGTTGATCTTGCAACAAAACTTGCTACAAGCTATATTTTGAACACTTTTGACAAGTAAGTTCTCATCTTTTTCTCTTTACATTACTAACATGAATACATGTATAATTTAATTACACTTTAAAATTGTTTTCAAATTAAATAAAAATATATATTTACCATTGATAAAAAAATAACAGTTTACTTATAAAGAGCATTCTAAAATTATAAAAATGTTTTATATTGCAGGCAAAATACCAGAAATATTTTAGTATTTTCTGTAAAAGTTGCATTGGTATTGTTAAGTAGTGGTAGATTACAAGAGAAATACGGATATTTGTATCAGCAATTAGCTAATCATAATGCATGTTTATCTCGAGCTGGTCTACACACTTTGTTGACAAATATTTGCAAACTAACAGAAATGCTTGGAGAAACTGCAGCATATGGATACGAACAAATCCAGTCGCATATAGATGCTTGTTTTATAAAGGTATAACAGAATTGATCTTGTATCAGATACTTATTATTAAAAATGAATTGTGTAATTATTTTCCTAATATATTTCAGTCTCAAGGTGGCCTTGGCATAACCGAAGCAGAATTTGCCGCGTGGATTATGCAGGAACCTCCTCTATTGGTTTGGATAACAACATTTAATCGAATAAAATCTGCAGAACACAGTAAGTAATAGAATTAAAATATTACATAATTAAACATATATGGCAATGAACAATTTTTATTTGCAGTTGTCCATAACATTAGATGTTCCTCCTGCAAAGTAACACCAGTACAAGGGCCAAGATATACATGCTTGAAATGTACAGGATACCATCAATGCCAGGAATGTTTCCTTTTAGGCAAAACGTCAAGTAAACATAAATTAAAACATCCAGTTCGTGAATTTTGCGTAAAGGTACGATGTTTAGATTTCTATCATTGTATAGAATAAAAATTGTTCAGAAACAATTCTTTTGCAGACTTCACATCGCGAAGTTACGAAACTGTTCATCGAATTGATTAGAAATAAATTGAAACTGTGTCCTACCAGAACAGTCGCATTGGACGATCTAGTTGCAGATGTTGCCAGGTTTGTCGCAAGCATTATTTCTGCAATTATACAATTATAAAATATTCTATAGCAATAGTTTGTTTTTTAACACAGTAACGAAACAAGACGTACGGATTACGGATCGGTGAGGAGCACGGTAAAACGAAAAATTCTCAGTGATCCACAGAAGGAGTTACAAAGTATCATAATGCATTTGGAAGAGGAAAACCGACAATTGCAAATTGAGCTGCTAGATATACAGGGCACCAAAGCTGAGAGATTGCAACGTCATAGAGCGACCATCGAGTCTCAATTGCAACGATTAAAAACACTCAAGGTACATTAACTGATCAAAGATTGTTTAGACATGTTTGTTGAATTTTTTTTTAATTTTGCAGAAATATTTATTCACCGATACAGCTCAAACGCCGCAGATTATCGCCCGTATGCAAAGCACTCCGATGCTGCCGCCCTTGTCATCCAGACTCGTCGCCTTGCCTCTGGAATTCGAATTAAGCCCGATTATCAGGCAAGACAATCCGAATCAACAAGGGATCAAATTACATCGTCAAAATGATAAATTAATGTCGGATAGTTTTAATGCGTCATTAACTATTGATCACACGAGAGAAGAGAACAATGCTAATGCTCTTGCTTGTGTCGAAGGGGCTTCTACGAGTTCAGCATTCGGTAATATACCAGAAAGCAGTCGTATAGAATTAAGTACTTGGATTGGAGGTAAGTGCAAATTGTGAACACGATCAAAAGCGATTATGATAGAAATATTAATGCAAATGTATGTATATGCATTAAATTGCTAGGCACAAGAAGGAGGGAATTGAGTCCAGCTAACAGTGGCTTCTCTCAGTGGTTGGCTGCTGGCAATTCAAACTGCAAGGAAGAAAACTATGTGACTAACGTAGTGAATAATACAGATAATGACTTGTCACTCGCAGCTTCTCAGTCTCCCACTGGCATTCACAGAGATAACACTCCATCTTCCCTTCAGCGTCCCGACAAACATTCGCAGCATAGTAGCTTACAAAATATTCAAGGAGACCTCAACGATATATTAGACAGATTGCAAAATATGGTTGCCAATGACTGTTTGCTCGACGGTAAGTTATCAGGATTGTCGGGAAATTGTATTTAGAAAATGTGGCTTTCTCCAATATGATAATCTCTTCATGATAAAGTTATCTTCACTTACATATATTATGCATGTATGTATATTTATACATAGCTAATTTACATGTTACACTTTCTGCAGAATCTTACGACGGCAATGACAATTGTAAATTGAAACGTGCTACAACGGAGATGGAAGATCTATTAACTGGCCTCATCGAAGGTATGGAATCTCGTAAAAATAAACTTACCACTATCGTTTGAAGACTGCCTTAAATGTAAGTTTAGATATTATATATTCGAAAATTTTTATATTACATCCAATGACTTTGTGCGTGAATTCACCATGATAATCTCAGATACTTATTTTTAACATTCTTACCGGCCTGATTTTGAAATTGATATATAAATGCCATAAGTGCCATTACATGTTGTCCAAAGAAAAAGATAAATCACTTAATCATCGTAAGAAACATCATATAAAGTACAAAGATTTGATAATAAAACAGCCATATTTAGCGCCAATTACGAGACATGAACATGGCCCTCATGTTTGAAAAATAAGTATAGTTTTCTTAACTTTTTATATATATATTTGTATAATAATATATGTGCAATCATCAAACAAATTATTTCAAAAAAATATTATCTATTGATATCAAGAAATTTTATAATTGTGTAGTATGGAATTTTATATAATATGCATCTGATTTTAAGAGTCATAATTAATTTACTTTAAATAATTAAGAAATTATAGTGCACTTTGCTATAAGAGAAACGCAGAAAGTCATTTATAATAACTCCGTCCATTTAAGCGCCTTCAATGCGCCGAGTGATTTTGTTATTAATATTCGCACACATATACGTGTTTGCACAAAACGGTATATTTATATCAAAGTATAATATAGTTTATTTCCGAAAATGAAAACTTTTCGTACATACATTTGATCTGATCGTACATAAGAATGGTAGACGTCTTGTCTCCAGTTATAAAATAAGTGCCTTATGTTCTATATTAATAATAAGTCGTTATATGTCAATTTTACGACCGGACTAGATAATTGATTGTGACATAATCTATATAATCAAGAATAAAAAATTTGTACGTTTATAATGCCAGTATATAAGTCTTTGAAATTTAATACTGAACAAATATATCAGACATTACTACATGTCCTTCTCTAAATGTAGCGTATCAGTTAGATAGGTGATTTTCAGCAGCCTCGAAAAGTGTATTTTTTCCGACGGTCTATTCACCGTCCATGCCATCACGCGAATGCCACGGTCGCGCCATCGTTCTATCACACGTCTGAAATAAAATTATATAGTAATCATATACTTGTATAAAATATATACGTATAAAATCATGTGACTTAATGTTGCTTACGGATTTACTATGTCCTTGTGCAATAGTATGGCAGAAATGCCGACGATGTAATAAACGAAACGCGGTAGCAGCCACTCGTACAAAGTTTCCAAGATGCAAGCTGCCAAATGTTTAAATGGATTATGGAATCGTGCCGGACCGAGTGCTTCCAGGCCAGCGTATGATAATCTCGAGAAAAAATACGGCCTCCAAGCAAGACTCGAGACAATACGTGGCTCTTTTTTCCTAATCTTAATATAAATTGAAAAATATATCCACAATCAAAATTTTTCCATACGAATTATTGATTAGTGTTTAATATATATACCATATATACTATGATCGGATTGAAACTTGACACAATGCCTCTCTGAAATAATTTCGGATACTTTGTGAATGTATCCAAAACAATTTGCACGACATCTGTCCTTGTCTCTTTTATATCTATAATTATTCTCTGTTCACTGTTTAGGCATTCTTCTAGTACATTGTGTAACAGCGCAATCTTTTCACCATCAGAAAATTTGTTCCTTTTGGCAAAACAATTATATATTCTCTATTAAAATATTCTGATATATTTATTACAGGTATTTTATATATAAATCGTAATTATCAACATAAAATAAATATAAATATAAATCATACCTAAGTGGATGATTATAAGTTATATCTAACTCCCTCAGTTCTTCCCATGTCATCTCACTAATTGTTCCTGTGCGGCCTGTAAGTCTCTCAATTGTTGGATCATGGAATATTATTGGAATGTTATCCTTTGTTAGCCTTAAATCCAATTCTATGGCAGTGCAACCCTTTCCTCTGCTCTAAAAAGTATAAACAATACATTAAAGCGAAAAACTATATTTCAAAGGCATACATCATAAAAAGATAAATATGATCAGAAAGATTTAGTGTAATTAAACGTAACGAGATTAAAGTATTAATGTTATCGATAAATAATTAGTTCCTTTGCCTTGTATTAGCTAGAACAATATTAAGTAAGCCAATAACAAAACTGAGACACACAAGAATCTACTTCAAAGAAAATTTTAACTATTTATAATTATACTACTACAAAATATGTAATTTTACATTTCGGAAAGCCAACAAACTGTTCTCAGGATAATCATATCCTCCACCACGGTGAGCCACCACTCGCATGCAGTATTGCTCTCCGTTACTATGGTTTTCAGACACAGAGTTATCTTTGTTTAGGAGAAGCGGATTCACACCGAGCACTTCCTGCACGGTGTTGATAGGCGGAGTTGACACTCGGGCCAATCTCAGCATAATCATAACAATTAAAGAGCCCCAAACGATCCAAGGAACGGAAAACTCATACAGGACGGTGACCGACACACTCAGCGCCGTTTGTAGGAGTATCCACAGTAAAGCGCTGTTTGCGATTAATTCAATGATCTCGTGCATTTTGATGTTAATTTTCTACCACGGGTTACGCGCTCAAGAATTCTCTTGGTGTTGTCCTGTCATATACGAGAGAATCGAGTGAGTATTGTCACGTTAATCTTAAGATTATTACTTCATAAATTGTGATCGGAGTCGATTGTGAAAAAATGTGTGAAGTCGAGTACGAGTACTCGTGCTGCGAATATTCTATTGATGAAACACGTCATTCTCTTTATTCGCAAATCGCATAGATCTGTCATGCGGTGTGCATCTGTGCGAATTTCGAAGTCTCCAAAATGTCATCAGAACTCTCGCGGACGCGCGTGCGAATGTGCGCTTCGCTTTTACACTTACAAACACACTGTCAGAACGATTATTTCTTCTTTATCTCACTATTCTTTTATTCATTATTTTAATTCAGTCAGATAGCGCGCAATTTATATGACATTTCACTTGGTAAGCAAATAGGTAAGGTATAAAACACATGCCCAACAACAAAACTGACAATAACACACTGACCAACACTGACGAGCGATCTTGAGGCTCGTTCTTATGCAGCGCATTAATGATAAACAAAGGGGCAAATCTTGACGTGAGGAAGATTTGTCCAGACAAGATTTGCATATGCGGAGAAATCAACCAATCGCGTATTTTAGTCTAAAGAATGCTTAGTGCGTTCTTCACGTTAGATATATGATTAGTTGAGTTTACCGTAATAACTGTAAAAAATAGATTACAGAAATCGAGATTTTTTCTATTCTTCTAAAAATTTATGCCTATTTCATTTTGAATGTAAAAAGCTTTAGGAATTGCATTTAAAGTAAGATAAAAACTCACTATGTTGTTCAGGTGAAAAGAAGATAGAAATGTAAACACGATAGAGCTCTGTACAACACTGGACACTGGAGTGAGCCTTGAAAGGGTAGGGGCAGCCCCTTTGCACAAGAGAGAGCTATGTTGGACGGGGACGTCTGTCTCATGTTTGTCTTCATGTTTAATATTTCCATCATATACAGTGGAATAAATGTGGAAGAAGAACAAACCCCACCTAACTATTGCTATCCTTGAGCCGCTAACCACACATTAATTCTTATGAAATATTACTTCATATGTTATAAAGCACAATGTTTTAGTATGACTTTGCGAGTGAAAAACATGCATATTTATGAAGTCGTGTCAATCGAAAAATTTCGCAAAAAAGCTGTAATTTGATTAGAATGAAATGAAATACTTCATCAAGTCTTCTTTTTTGATTGAATAATTAAGTAACCTGATCGCTGTACTTACATAAGCATAAACGAACAGTTTTTATCGGGCATGCATATTAAAGAGTGATTGTCTTGGTATACGATTTAATATTGCAAATCATTCAGAGCTGAACGGCTAACTGCTATAAAACGGAGAGAAAGAATTTCGACGTGAATATGGCTGGAGCAAAATCCAAGAAACCTGGTTCTCTAGCGAAATTTTACCTGGCGTCGTATAATCTTGGACAAACTCTGGGGTATGTTAATTTCTCTGCTGTATATCAAGGAAATAATAAAATAAGTACAACTTTATTACATTGAATCTCTCAAATATTTTTTACACAACATCTTATACATAGAATGTGTTTTTTACTTTATAAAAGTTTTTTTTATGTTTTTTACATATTATTTAAAAATATATATGTTCTGAAAAATAAAATTCTCTTTTATTTTAGATGGAGTTATATATTGTACCAAGTCATATTACATTATATCAGTCCTTCGAGTAGCACTTTGTGGAATAAAACAGAGTTATCTGTATTCATTTTTCAAAATGCAGCTGTATTGGAGGTATTTATTAATATTTTAAATTTGAATAGAGCAAATTAGAAATAAACAAGTAACTTTTTAAATCTAAAATTAATAACTTCTGAATTCCTATATATATATAATAGAAACATTATTAAGTAATAAAATTAAAAGAGTAAAGAGAAGAAGTAATTAAAATTCAAGTACAACTTTATTAATAAAAAATTGACAGATATAGATGTAGTATCTCTTAGTTTAAAAATCTACATATTTATTAATTTGTATATATACACACATTTGTTTCCCCCATGTAATATATTAATTATATATAATCTACTTATAAAAATTTTTTCTTTTAGATAATACATGCAGCAATCGGACTGGTACCGTCGAATGTTATAATCACAACATTCCAAGTATTTAGTCGTGTAATGCTTGTTGTAGGGGTTATTTTAGCCACTCCTTACACATATGCTGCTGCATCTCCAGGACTTCCACTGGCTCTCTTGGCATGGTCCATCACTGAAGTTATTAGATATTTCTATTACTTTGTGAATCTTATTGGTATTGTGCCACATATAATAATCTGGCTGAGGTAATTAATCTCTTATTATAATTAAAATGTCTTAAGTTTGATTGAAGTTATTCTATTTACATAAAGTTATATTAATAAAAATATAATTTTAGATACACCGCCTTCATCATACTATATCCAATTGGTGTGACTGGTGAATTATTGTGTTTCTATGCTGCTGTGCAGTATGCTAATGTTAAACCGGATTCATGGAGTTATGTTTTACCCAATCCATGGAATTTCACATTTAGCTACTTGTATCTCCTGTTAGGAGTTATGTTAGCTTACATTCCATGTAAGTATTGAAAAATATGCTGATGTGCAAAAAAAAAACAAAACAAATTCATGCATTAATTATGACATTGTTTTTTGTTGCAGTGTTTCCTCAACTTTATTTGCACATGTTTGCGCAAAGACGCAAAATGCTCAATCCTAGCGCTAAAGCAAAGAAAGCTCATTAATTTACAAACTTATATATTTTATAATATAATTATTATATATTTTTAATCATGATTCATGTATATAACTGAAATGATATAGGGTGGGATTTATTTTATATTATATATATTATTTTTAATATAATAAAGAGAGAATTTCAAGAAGACAAAATATTTAACATCTAATTTTTTGCATTTTTTATATTAATGTTTATCAGCAAAAATCTACATTTCCAGGTGTTTCATATTAATATTAACATTCTTGGAAAATTTAAATATATTTTGGTTTGCAAATATATAACAAGTATTTTTTATTAATAAAATTAATATTAAAAGCTCTTATGTCAAAAACTATATTTTAAATATTACATAAGTCAGAAAAAATAATCTTAATTTACGTAATTATTATTCACGTAATTAATAAGGTAATTAACATAAATCTTAAAGTATTATATGTCGCGCGTTTCCAAGTATAATACATATGCAATGATATTACACAGAATACATTATAAAAATCAGAGAAAGCATGCGTTACCGAGGCAGTGCAATTTCTGTATTATCGATATGGCTTAGGATTGTTGTGCATTGAAGAATAAGAGCTTACATTTTGTGAAAATACTGTGAATTTGAAATATTACTGAATTTAATTTTATTGTTTTTCATTGGTGTAAGTTACAATATGTTAAATAACATCTCGTTTGGTTTTCAATATTATTTAATATTAAAGAAAAGCTTTTCCAATAAAAATCATAACCTTTAAGTTATTTTTCCATTTATACTAATCTATTTATTTTAGATTAAATATAATGAAGTTTACACAAATTTTATACAAGCAACACATAGGTAGGCAGATTAAAAAATTATGGTATATAAAGCGGGAACGCAAAATAGGTGATAGTATGGTAGAACAGCATTTATCAACATTGGGGATTCAGGTGAAAGATCCCTTGGAAATAATCGTACCAAAAAAAGAATTACCAAGGTACGTTTCTTAAAAATTACACTCTTCACAGATTATATATTTTGTATTATGATTGCGTGTACTTTTAAAAATACTAATTATACATTATATTCTACTTCAGGTTAGAAATAAACTTTTTGAAACCAAAAATAGTTTTTGATGAAACACATCCTGATTGGAAAGCTCGAGCGTGTTTGATATTTAAGGACCATAATGTTCTGCAACAAGGAGTTCAGCAAGCGCAAATATTAACAAACACTGTGTGCTTGTCACAGAGCTTTTCAAATTATATCCAAGATCCACTTCCACATCTGCCGGAATATATAGATGATGTAGTAAAAAGGTATATAAAATTCAAAGTTTTTATTTTAATCGTGTATTATATATTTTATGATATTTTTAGAGCATTTTATACCTCAAATATATTTGATGCTTCTCAAGAATTATTGCAAAAGAGAAAAGATCCTAAAAGACCTGCATGGGTGTTTCCCAGAGATTATGGCATAACCGAATGTAGAAAAATGTTAGTAAGTTGCGAATTGAGTGACATTTAATGAAAGAAACGTTTTTATAAACTTATATATTTATTTTCTAACCATATGGATTATTTTTTAGGCGAAACTTGTCCAGGAAATTCTTACAAATCTGCGAGTCCTTATCTGGTCTAGATATTGCACAGAAACGATACGTATTGTATGATGGGATTACACAGTTAAATTTGGGTAACTTTACTAGATATTTGAAGTATTAGACATCTTATTATATACTCAATTGTTCAAGTGTTATATAAAACTGTCTTTTAGAAAAAGAATCAAATCTGATCCAGTTCATCTTAAGATCAGATGTGATGGTCATGTCAGCAAGTCCTCTAAAGCCAGTAGAAAATTCTAATAGCAATAGGAAGATGGAACTCCCAAACATCCATCCAATGCATTATACTATTAGCTTAAACGAAACAAATTTCTACACTACTGAAGACATATATCGTAAGTTTGACGCTTATAATATGCATATTGCTTTTATAATATCACAAATATGTTTTAATGATTATATTGTAGCTGTTACAACAACATCGCCGTGGATAAACGCTCACACCATTTTTGTGCACTATGATCCTGTGGAAGTGAAAAACCTGACAGGATTATCCGTGACAGAAGATCAAATTATCAGTCGCAGTATGATAAAATCATACACCATAGCAGCGTCTTGCGCACGGCAGAGGTTCGGCTCGTCGGTGAAGAAACTGCCAGAACCGATAACTGTGCAGTGTATTCAATTAGATGGGAAGAATTACCACTTCTTCGTATTTCAACTCAATTCGTTAGATGCCAATGACGCCAGTGTGAAAAATTTCTGGTATACTCTACCATCGTCAATGCTTTACAAGAAAGCTCAATATGATAATGGCAGACCTGTAGTTGAGGATTACAATCCGGAAGTGTTTAGAAAAATACTAGCATTTTATAGAAATGGAAATTAAATAAAATTGTTTATAGATCTTCTAATCTTCTGTACATACAATATTTTACATTTATGTATATATATATATATACATATATAAACAAACGCATACGTCACTCACAAGTATCATTACATAATGTTTAAAAGATTTTCGAACAGCGTGCTTGGTTGCACATTTGGATTGATTTCTTTCGGCTTCACGCGAAGACGATGATCTTGCGGTGGTTTTAGTAGATTCTTCATCGATGGATAGGGTTTGGTGTAAAAATACGTGTGACATAATGCCTGCAATGATAATTCATTACATTCACATATGCATATGTATTTATATGTATTACCTGTTCAGCTGTGAGGCGGTTGGACGAATTGTAAATCAAGATCTGCCTGACTAGATCAACAGCTTCCGGTTGTGCATCTTGAATGATACTCTCCCATGTTGTAGCTTTGTGATAAGGAAATGTGATTTTATTGTAGTCTGGTAATGAACTTAATTCGGGCCACGATTCGGATGTGGGTGAACCCAAATATTTCAAAACTATGGCCAATTGTTCGATATCAGTTTCACCCTGTAATTATACATATAGCTTTGATACATAATTTAATTATTTTATTTTAGCAAAAAAAAAAAATATTTACTGGAAACAATGGAGAGGTGTTCAGCATTTCACCGAATATGCAACCGATCGACCATATATCTATTGCAGACGTATAATATCGTGCTCCATAGAGTAATTCTGGTGCTCGATACCATCTTGTGGCAACCTGATGCGAATAGGGCTTTGTACCATCCTGCCACATCAATCGGCTTAAGCCAAAATCCGCAATTTTCAAGATTCCCTTATCACTGATCAACAAGTTTGCAGGTTTTAAATCCTAAAATACGATTCCAAACAATTTCAACAATTTAAAAGTGAATACATGCATCTAAATTTTATTGGAATAGAAGAATAGCAGTATTTGAATACCCTGTGTATTATATTCTTGCTATGTATATATGCTATACCCTCCAGCAACATTTTCATGTATGTTTTAATTTGCGTCAGCGTCAAGGATATATCAGTATCCCTCAATATTTCCCACAAACCTGTTGGCATATATTCAAACACCATCATGAAGTCTAAACCGTTTGGAAAAGCATCTAGCAACTCTATGACCTACGAACAAACTGCAATATAGATATACATTTCTTTAAATTAATATACAAAATTAAATTTCTGCGATTTAGATTCAAATTTAAAAAAGGAGTGCACACATAAGGATGCTTGAGCTGCTGTAAACTTTTCACTTCACGTATAATGGACACAGGCAGACCATCCTCAGTCCTTTTAATCAGGATTTTCTTTACTGCCACTTCCTGATCTCTGGATTTATCATGTGCTTTCAGGACCAAACCTTGCGCTCCTTCGCCAATCTGCCCATTGATGATGTATTTTTCCATGCTGTTTATTTATTTAAAAAATTTACACTACATTATAAATAGCGATAAATTATTGCTATCATTTTTATTATTAATTATGCAGTTCATTCATTCAATAAATTATGAAATTAACTGAAAAAAATTTGATACATTCGCGAAAAAATGCAAAAGATCATTCGCTAACCAAATTTTATACAAAAATCTTCTAGTTTACAAGCTTGCTTTACAGTTTCCATGGTTACCAATGTAGTATACTGCATTATCATACAATCCTCCATTATCGGCGCATGTTCAAACTCTGTCAAAGATGTCATGTATGTCGTATCAGAGAGAAGCCTGAGAGCGGTCATCACCCCGATTTAGCTGCAACCACAATTCAAGACGCCTCTATGTGCACAAAACGTGCACATTGAACTACTGAGCCATGTACACGATACTTTCCAGTGGGTAACATGCTATGTGCACAATGTTTGGTTCTGTTCCATTCTATGTGCACAAAGTGTCGGTAACACAGAGCTAGTAGGGTAACATTGATGTATATAAAATAAATTTTCAATAAAAAAACATGCACATGTCATTATTCATTTTTATGTTAAAGCTTAATTTACAATAAGTTCTTTTTAACATAAATATACGTGACAATTTTGTTAATAAAAATTGCATCCAAGAATCGCGACATATAAGTTTTTTTAATTTTTGTAAATTCTATTTTTATATTTTGCCCTTACTTTACAATTTTTACGTAACAAGATTATAACTTTTAGATACATAGCACGTTTTGTGCACATAGAGGCGTCTTGAATTGTGGTTGCAGCTAAATCGGGGGGATGATCGCTCTCAGGCTTCTCTCTGCTGGTACGATCATTTTCTTTCTTTCAATGGAAAGAAAATTTAAAGAATGTTGTGAAATAAAATACATTGTTTGTCGAGAAAAGATTTTAATAAAACCAAATACAATATAATAATAGTATACAATAAGTAATATTAAATTCAGAAAACATATACAATGAAAAAGAAATATATACAACAATGCTGCATACAGATGCAATAATGTGATATACATATATATATGTAATACAATATACAATTATATAATAATATAATATACAATATAATATACAATATATTAATACAATATTTTGTACAAATGAGAAACAGATTTTTACAAGTTTACAATATTTAAGAGAAATGTTCCAGTGGCAATATATTTAAGAATTAATTATTATTAAAAATGTGATGTTTTCTATGAAAATAATATTTTTAATATTATATAATAAAAATTAAAATATTTACTTCGCGGAAATTTAAAACCAAAAATTTAGCATTTATTAAACGACGATATTAAATATTTGCAAAAATAAATTGGATACGTAAATTTACCACAGTTTCCGGACATTATATTTATGAATATTAAAAAATTATTTTGTTCATATATTTTCGGAGATTGAGACATATCCAGCCATTGGGACATTTAGCTTATTACAATTTTTCTTAATATATTATCCTGTATTCCATCGAAATAATATACAAGATAATACAAAATGAAAATAATATGCCAATATGTCAATAATATGTCAATAAAATCATTTAAACGTTCAAAAGTTTTATGTATAATGCAAAATACTTTAGTTAAAAAGAGCTGAACAATACGATTTTTTATTTATAATCAAAAGTATCTCTTATAATTCAAAAAGTAGTAATATTTTATTAGTGAAATTTATTAATCTAAACATTTAAACGTCTAAACGTTCAAACTTTTTCATAATTTACGCAAGAAACATCTTTCGTTTTTCGAAAGAGAATCTTGCTGTTTGCCCACCCGAAGTTTTATCATTATTTTTGTCATCAATAAACTACAAACTAACTGCCAAAGCAGAAGTTCCAAAGTTTATCGACAGCAAAGAATTAAAAAAAAAATACAATATAGAAGTGATAAGAAGTTTTAAAATCCTACCTACCTACCCACAAACTTTATCTAGTAGAAAATCCTACCTAATTAGAAATTCTATACCTAAGAGTTCGTACAAAAAATTTTCCGCAGGATGCTTTAGCGCAAAGCTCGACTCAGTTACCGCCATTTGTATCTGAATTTCGGGAAGGAGTTTTTCGCAGGATGCTTTAGCGCAGAGCTCGGCTCAGTTACCGCCATTTGCATCTGAAATTCGGGAGAGAGTTTTTCGCAGGATGCTTTAGCGCAGAGCTTGGCTTAGTTACCGCCATTTGCATCTGAATTTCGGAAGGAAATTTTCCGCAGGATGCTTTAGCGCAGAGCTCGGCTCAGTTACCGCCATTTGCATCTGAATTTTGGGAGGGAGTTTTCCGCAGGATGCTTTAGCGCAGAGCTTGGCTCAGTTACCGCTATTTGCATCCAAAATCTGAGAGCTACTACCTTGGTGTTTCTCAAAAGACGCTAGCGCAGAGCGTCAGCTCAGTTTCCGCTAGTTGCGTCCGAAATTTTTGTTGATAGTCGATCATTATTCAATGATCGATCGTATCAACGTTGTTTCGAGATCTGTGCTCGACCATCATCGACGGGACCACGAATTTCGAATTTCCGCGCTCAACCATGGGATCAACACTAGAACTACCGACGATTAACATATACCAATTTTTATTTCTTTTTTCTTTCTTTTTTAAAAAGGTGTATAAAGAGAAAAAGTACATTAATCAATTTAATTATTTAACACAATGCAACACAAGTCACAGAAAAAAATCTCAAAAAATACATTATAAATTTAAATAATTATTCTAAAATGAATAAACCGGTCATTTTGACCGCTTTGATAGTTCTAGTGTTCTAATGTTAAGCCATAGGACCACGGATGCATGAGTAAACTAGGAAAGATTGCGAAGAAATTGACGTATAGCAAGAATAAATATATATTTCAAAATTGTAAATAAATTGTTAATAAAAAATGCACT